AGCTTATAGTATATGCCATACTCATGTCCATCCACCCCCACATATCTCTCTCTCTCTCTCTGCATTTATATAGTCCACTCTTCTTCTTTCCACTCCACACAAAAGAAGAAGAAAGAAAAATGGGCAACTCTTTGATGTCTCTTCTCTCAATCTTCCACTTGTTGGTGTTATGGGGATCCTCAGTGAATGCTTATTGGCCACCATCACCTGGTTATTGGCCAAGCTCCAAGGTTAGCTCCCTCAACTTTTACAAAGGTTTTAGGAATCTTTGGGGTCCTCAGCATCAGAGAATGGACCAAAATGCCCTCACCATCTGGCTTGATAGAACCTCAGGTATACTAATTAAACTCTTCTCATTTTCTCATGTGGGTATTTCAAGTGTGATGTGAAGTTTATTTCTTTTTATCAATAATGTATTTGGGGTTTGTATAAATAGGAAGTGGATTCAAGTCAGTGAAGCCATTCAGATCAGGCTACTTTGGAGCAAACATCAAACTCCAACCTGGCTACACTGCTGGAGTCATCACATCTCTCTATGTGAGAGCTACAGATATCTTAATTAAGTTATTCTTAGTTACATTTAGTGATCTTAAAATAAAATTAATTAAATTAAATTTGCAGCTATCAAATAATGAGGCACATCCAGGGTTCCATGATGAGGTAGACATAGAATTTTTGGGGACAACATTTGGGAAGCCTTACACACTTCAGACAAATGTGTACATTAGAGGAAGTGGTGATGGCAAAATCATTGGTCGTGAGATGAAGTTTCGTTTGTGGTTTGATCCTACTAAAGATTTTCACCATTATGCTATTCTTTGGAGCCCTAGAGAAATCATGTAAGTCTTCTTCTACTTAATCATACAAAAATAATTTCTAGTTTTTTTTTTTTTTTTTTGGAGCAAAGAGTAACTATAGTAGTGTATATAGTTATAAAAGATCCGTGTTCTCACGAGAAAATACGACAAATTCATTTTTTGGCCGCGTAGAGGTGGACTCAACCCATTCTTCAATCCACATTCAATCTACTTCTTTCATCGTCGGTGGATGTATCTAGAGTCATATAGTAAAAAAAAAGTACTTTTCATATAATTTTATTTTATAAATGGGATCCCATAGATCTTTCCCTTGGGTTGCATTATTTGGACAAGGAGGGATATAATTAGAGAGACACGAACAAGAAAGACAATGACCGTACGACAATTGACAATTAAACTTGATTTTTTTTGTTGTTTTATAAATAATTGATGATTTTCTCATGTGTTATTTTGTGTCTGGGCCTAACCAAAGTGCCAGCTTTACTAAAGTTTTTATTTCTCTTAACTAAAAGTATGAGTCCTTGAAGCCTATGAGGTGCGACCACATCAATGAGACATACAGAATCTACCTACCATTTTTAAGCATTTATATACTTCCCATTATTATGATTAAAAATCTCGTACTTTATCAGAATGCTACTATAACACACATATTTTTAATCTGGGCATGTTCCTTAATTAGTAAATTTTATCAATTTCAAACTAATATTTGCTTCTTCTTTTTTTTTTTTACTATTTAAGATTTTTGGTGGATGATATTCCCATAAGAAGATACCCAAAGAAGAGTGCGTCTACATTTCCTTTAAGACCAATGTGGCTTTATGGTTCCATATGGGATGCTTCTTCTTGGGCAACTGAGGATGGTAAATACAAAGCCGACTATAAATATCAACCTTTTACTGCAAAATACACCAATTTTAAAGCCCTTGGCTGTACCGCTTACTCGTCAGCTCGGTGCTATCCATTGTCGGCTTCGCCATACCGTTCTGGCGGATTAACCCGGCAACAACACCAAGCCATGAGATGGGTTCAAACACATAGTATGGTATACAATTATTGCAAAGATTATAAGCGAGACCATTCTCTAACGCCGGAATGTTGGCGTTAGGAAACATTTGAGGAAAGTCCCAAAGTTTCAGAATTTTAATTACATCAAAGACAATACCACAAAGAGCTTGGTAAAATTTTGGGATTTTTTGTTCATTACTATTATTACGTGGTTGTTTGTTTCACGGAAATAAATTTTCCTTTTTTTGGCTTATCATCTTGTCGATGTAAATGTATCCATATCATATTGTTTGTCAAATGTCTCATAAACAAAACTGTTTGAAATGGTGTTCTGTTATTGCATACCATGATCACATTTCAAACAGTTATTACCAAATCTATTTTTATTCTGAAGATTTCTTGTCTATGAACAAACTTTTGTTTATCCGATTCTGTAAATTGTAGCTAAAAAAGTCACTAACTCAAAGCTCTAGCTAGTATTCGGTATTGTGATCTTCAAATCAGCTAAAACCATCACCATCTCGAAGCTTTAGTCTAGTATGTGGTTGTGATAGTCAAATCAGCAAATATGTATTCGTATATTTCACATTTTCTTACACATTTGTGCGCATATCATATAGTATACTCAAAAATTATTATAAGAAATTTCTCAATGGAGAAAGAAAAAAATACCTTCTTGATCAATCTAATTCTTTTTTTCTTTTTGTCCTTTGTCATTCTTTGTATTGCTTCAAAGTTAAAAAGGAAACAAGAAAATCATCACTCAAAATGATAAAAGAAAAAAAAAATGACGATGAAGCGAGCATTATGAAAATTTTGCCAAAAAGAATATTGCAAATTGAAATCACATTTAGTGGAAACAATCGACATATTTTCAAGAATCACTGTTTTCAAATAGATTTGGAAGAAATAAATGTCAGCACCAAAATACCAAGTCAAAGTTTGCAACCAATCAGTACGAAAATACTAAATGAATTCGATTTCTTATTTCAAGCTAAAAGTTTCTGGATATGATATTTGATTATAACAGTTGAAAGTTTCTACATAATTTACATCATTTCTATAATACTATTGTTTTCACCAAATTTACTTTAAGGGTTGTAGCAATGGGAGTATTTGATTAGAGTATTAGACATATCTATTTTTCATAATAATTTTTAATGAAAATTAATGTGTTTTCATGTAAAAATAATTGACAACTAATACAAATTTGGGTAAAACAACAATACAAATCATGCACAAAGTGGCGATAAGGCGATTGATTACCCCACTAGTTCTACAAAAATAAATGGACGAATACGACTAAACAATGAGAAGGAGCTTTATACTCGCATTTGGTATAGATACGTACAAGACGATTGGGAAACACCAAACATTCGCTTATCAAAATAGCCCACAAAGCATTACACTGACCCATTCTTCTCTTTTCCTCCTTTGGTATTTTTATGAGAATGTTGACATTCAATTATTTATTCTTAGCTTTTTTCAATAAACATATATATCTCTAATTAAAAAAAAAAACAATTTACTCTTTCTATATGTCATATTTTAAATACAAAAAAAAAACACTATATGATTGCTTGTTTACTTGTACTTTTAAAACTTTTGTTGTAAAAATTTTCTTAACAGTACTAATTGTATAGAGAAAGAAAAAACAAACTTCTTAATTCGAACCAGGCTAATTAAAGAAAGAAGGGACGGTGGTATTCATTAGGTTATATCAGGGACATTTATGTGAGTGGCAGGGTAAGCGATGGACTCAAAACTTTTGAGTCAAAAGTAATGAAACCATGTGAGGTGTAATTGTGAATTCTTATGTATTTACTTCATTCATAATAAATAGTCACGTTTGAGAGTGTGACACTCAAACAATGTATATGTAGTGATGATTACAGTGTGAATTAACTAAAAAACTTTATCTTGTAAAGTCATCTCCCAAAAGATATACTGTAGTCTGTAGTAAGCCCATCGTCGTATGGAATTTTATGGTAGATGATTATTAAGAATCGGAAACATTAATATTATGGACAATATACTACAAATATGCAATAAATATTGAATAAAACAAACAAAAATAACTTAAGGGCTTTCGAGGTTCCACGTCGAAATGATTTCACTGGACATTGATGAGATCATGAGATCTGCAGATTATTATAGTGGGCTAGCCTTGTCTTTGAGTTTCGACAGACATTGTCTCCTTTTTAGCAAATGTCATTTTCCCTCTCTCTCTATCTCACAGACCCTTATCAACGATTATGAGGGCCGCCCGCGAAAAAAAAAAAGGGCCGTTCTAGAAAAGTGTAAGTGTATATTTGTAAAAAAATTTAACCATAAAAAAAAAACAAAAAACAAAAAAAACCTTCTCTCACGCTTCAGGTGATTTAAACTCATGACCTAAGATATGTGGTGTATGACATAATACCACTAGGCTACCAAAACACATTGGTTTTTGAGGGCCGAAAATATTAATAACTTCTCGGAAGGCCGCAGCTCCCGCTTCTCTTGCTTCTATCCAGCTACGGCTCTGCTATCTCATTCCATATTTTGTGTTTGGTACATTATTTCAGTAACTAATACGATCATAATGTATTTTCAAGTAGTTATAGATAATCAACTCGTGGTGATCAAATAATTGAATTATTTATCTTATGGGCTGATTGGAGAATAAGATTTGAGTATTTTCAATGCGATTTATCCTTACTAATTAGTCTTTGGGTATGTGTTGAATAACAAGAAACTTTTGTTCTAGTGTTTTTACATTTTCATCACCTTCTGTGAAACTAGAAACATTAATCACAGTTGAAATATGAAAATTAGTTCATATCTCGAAAAATTTGTTTTGCATCCAAAATAGTACATGGAATAAAATTCCCAATTTTTGTGATTTAAAATATTGAATGTATATATATATATATATATATATATTTTCGTCAATTGTAATTAATTATTGTTAGAAAATACAGTAGAATATACATGTAACTCTATTACTTGAACCTTAAATGCATCATGCATGTAATAACCATCTTACATAATATCTATAGTTTTCAAAATAACACGATATATATTAGTAAATCCAATGAATTGTCAGTACCGACCTTAGCTCAGTTGGTAGAGCGGAAGACCGTAGTAGTTGCTGTAATCTTTAGGTCGCTGGTTCGATTCCGGCAGGTCGGATATTTTTAATCTTTTTAATTTCCATTTTTTCGTTTTCCATACAAATCTTGACCTTGGGCCTGTCTATTCAATCATGGGCCGATAAGTCAAAATTTGAAAGTAATATAACGCGGTTTCGTAAAATGAATACGACGACGTTTTAGTAGTCAATCCGTGTTTTGACTCGACGGTTATATCTCGTAGTTGGAAGGAACGGCTCGAAACGGGAGGGTCATTATCGTAATTTTATAACTTTACCTTTTTTTCCAAATTAATTTTCTTTTCCTCTGAGAAAACCCACTTTACGAAGGAATCAAATCGACTCGTTTTCTTAAATCCGCCATAGATCCGTCCGACACACCTCCGTCACATCCGGGTTCGAATCGTCCAGCTCGAGCTTTTCGCGTTTCACAGCTTCTTCCTCTTCATCTTCTCTCTTTGTGCCATGGTGTTTCACCCTGTTTAGGGCATCACAAGCTTTGATTCGGGGGAGAATTTGAAATCCTCCTCTAGGATTTGAAATTATGGCTAGGGTTTATAGTAATTGGGATAGGCTGGTTCGAGCCACTTTAAGAAGAGAGCAGTTGAGGAATACAGGTCAAGGTCATGAGCGTGTTAATAGCGGACTTGCTGGAGCAGTTCCGCCATCACTTGGTCGAGCTACAAATATCGATGCTATCTTACAAGCTGCTGATGAGATTCAGTCTGAGGATCCTACTATCGCCAGAATTCGTAAGTTTTCTGTGTCAATATTGTGTGGGATTCATTGGTTTACTATTGACACTGTATTTGTCTGGTGTAGTATGTGAGCAAGCGTACTCTATGGCACAGAACTTGGATCCTAATAGTGATGGTAGAGGTGTTCTTCAATTCAAAACTGGTTTGATGTCCGTGATTAAGGTATTTTTCATCATCTTAATATGTATGTCTATTGCTGCAAAAAGAAGAAAAGTACGATTTCTCACAATGTTATATCTGTGTATTGGTTTAATTCACTTGCATATAGCTGTGTAAATGAATCCTTAATCTATATTGCTGTAGTCTAATTGTTGCACTCTGGTTACCGTTTAATGTTGAGATATGAGACACACAATCATTCTTTCTTGGTTTGCTTTTATTTTATGTTAAATGGTATGTTTACTTGTTCTGAATCGAAGGGGTTTACTTGCTTTTGCAGCAAAAACTTGCCAAGAGAGATGGGGCTTCAATAGACCGTGATCGTGATATTGAACGACTATGGGAGTTTTACAAACTTTATAAAAGACGACATAGAGTGGATGATATTCAGAAGGAAGAGCAAAAGTGGAGGGAATCAGGAACAACTTTTTCTTCAAACGTGGGGGAGTATGTGCATCTTTAATCCTTGTGGTTTCCCTTTTTTTTTGGGACAGTGTTTGGATTCTATCCCTAGAAAATGGCCGAAATTCTCTAAATCTGAAACATGCGTCCTGAATTGTGTTGATGCATGTTCTTTCATTCGGCAAGTGGTTCTCTGGGTGTAGTGTAGATTAGTTTGTTTGGTATGTACGTTTTTATAAGTTATCTTGATATCCTCTGTTCACATATACGGATGAGATTCTGTAGTGGAGATGGTATCTGAGATGTACTGTTGTCTTCTTTTTTTTTTTTTTTTAATAAATAATTGAACCGTGTTCTTTTTCTCTCTTTTTCATAGGATCTTGAAGATGAGGAAGGTGTTTGCCACATTGAGGGCCCTAATTGAAGTGTTAGAGGTGCTAAGCAGAGATGCTGATCCAAATGGTGTTGGGAGGTCTATCAGGGACGAGGTACTTTTTTCCATTACCTGTTGTGTTTCAAAAGCTATTTAATCTGCTTCTCGCTTCCTGTTCTGGTGATGCCAAGCGTTCAAAAGTCATATCTAATAACTTTGACGATTGAAGATCTTTGTTCAGAAGTTGCATCTGCATGAGTTGATAATAATTGTTTCCTAAGATCATTAAATCAATCATTGAAGTTGTCACGTTATGCACTTGTCTTGTATGAGCTAACTCATATTTTGTTTATGTTTTCAGCTTGGGCGGATTAAAAAAGCTGATGCAACTTTGTCTGCGGAACTAACTCCTTACAATATTGTCCCTCTAGAAGCGCAGTCCATGACCAATGCAATTGGGGTTTTTCCTGAAGTAAGTCAAACAAGAATGAAAACTTTGATTTTAATCTTGTATTAGTAGTTTTAGCTTTTAAAGTTTTGCCCACTCAGAAAAGGCTCTATTGTCTTTATTTAGGTACGTGGTGCAGTCCAGGCTATCAGATATACCGAACATTTCCCTAGGCTTCCCGATGATTTTGAGATTTCCGGACAACGTGATGCAGATATGTTTGATTTATTGGAGTATATCTTTGGGTTTCAGGTATAGTGATAACTGTTTGATCAAACTCTTCCCTGATTGTTTATTATTCTTGTTGCTTACTCTTTTTTTTGTTTGTCTTGAGCAGAGAGACAATGTAAGGAACCAACGGGAGCATCTGGTTCTCACACTTTCAAATGCACAATCTCAGCTTAGTATACCTGGCCAGAATGACCCAGTGAGTTCTTCCTTCTGATAGTATTATTTTGTTGTGGCATACTCCGTTACTGAGGGACAGTTATGATTGTCCTGTTGGTTAAGAGGTTGTCCTCTTAAAATCTTGATCTCTTAATCTTTTTGTGTAGAAAATTGATGAGAATGCAGTCAATGAGGTTTTCTTGAAGGTTTTGGACAACTACATCAAGTGGTGCAAATACTTGAGGATACGCTTTGTGTACAACAAGTAATTTTTGAATCTACTTCTGATATGGAAATACTGGTTTAGTTCATGTGAATTTATTAACGTTGAAGTTTTCTATTAGGTTAGAAGCCATTGACCGGGACAGGAAACTGTTTCTTGTTTCTTTGTACTTCCTAATCTGGGGTGAAGCTGCTAATGTCCGCTTTCTTCCAGAGTGTATCTGCTATATATTTCACAACGTAAGATACCATATTGTTGTTGATTATACACCTGTTTTCCGCTATCAGTATACTCATGTTTTTGTTCATTAGTTTGCTAAGTGATTTTTTGTTTCGTATTCTTTATTGTGGAAAAAATCTAAATGTCTAGGTTTTACAGATTTTCTTTTAGTGTTATTTTGTTGTTCATATATATTCTCCTCCTGCAAACCACACACAACTAAGCCAAGAAAAGACTTGTCAGAATTGCTGTAGCATCTGATCGTCTCTGTATCATGGCACTTTGCTTCTGTTAAAGCACCAGCCTGAAATCGTTTAATTTAGCAAGGACCCTTAATCTGGAATGATGAAAAATGAAGGCCCATGTGATCTCGAGTTTTACACCCTATGCAAAGTGAAAATATTATCTCTCCTCACACACAGTTGCCTTTTGTTTGTTAGATGGCCAAGGAATTGGATGCAAAATTGGATCATGGTGAAGCTGTTCGTGCTGACAGTTGCTTAACTGGAACTGATACTGGTTCTGTATCATTTCTTGAGCGAATTATCTGCCCTATATATGAAACAATCTCAGCGGTGAGTTCTGCTATTACAGTTTTTTTGTCATCTTAATTTTCTTTTTTGGAAAATTAGCTTTCAACAGTTTAATGTAGCTATTTCTCCTCCGATTATTTGTATGTCGATACATATTTCGAATGCTAGGCAAAAATGATAGTTTTAAGAGTGACTTCTTTCACTCAACCAGAGCTTTTGGTTATATAGAGTATCTAAACCCTTACATTTTTTGTGTTAAACCTCCATATTACTTAAATTAGTAGCAGTTGTCTGGAAAGTGTCATTATTTTAAGTTAATTTGAGTACAACCTTAAAGATCTTGTAATCAGTTTCTTGACATAGTATTTAGATGGTTCTAGCCTATATTTGAAAGTACATTCCTACTTCTTTTTTGAGATCAGATCTTATTTCTATGTTTCTGAGGAATTTTAGCATGTTGTAATGTGGATTTGAACGTGTCTTACATTAATGTTTTTGCTATATGGTCGTGTGAGCCCTTAAGTTGGTTTTGAAATTGATACTCATGTAGGAAGCTGCTCGAAACAATGGTGGGAAAGCTGCGCATTCTGAATGGCGGAATTATGATGACTTCAATGAATACTTTTGGTTTGTAGTTTGCTTATACTATTACATTTGCTAGTATAAACTCATTTCAAGGAGTTTCCATTAACGGTTTGTTATGTTCAGGACACCTGCTTGCTTTGAGTTAGGCTGGCCTATGAAAACAGAGTCACGCTTTTTAAGCAAGCCTAAAGGGAGGAAAAGAGTGAGTTTTGTTCATATCGACAAATTTTATGTTTCATTCCTTCTTCGTTTGGCTAATCATCTGTGACCACTTACTTCTTCTTGGCTTCAATTTTCGTGAGTTTTACTTTGGGAGCTGTCCCTTATTCTCATATTTTTTCATTTTAGTGGGATGTTATCTGATAACTCTTACATGATAAACAGTTGCATTTAATGGATCTTGTTGTCCAGTTGTGGGTGTTATATCTGATAGTTTGGGAGTTATATTTCTCTCTTACATCTATGTGGGGGGAATTACTCCAATGAGAATTACTGTCCAACAATTTCAACTTCTGTCTTCTTGTTATATTTCCATGTCTCTGTTGCCTGATCTCTTTTCCTGGAATTCAATGTAGACTGCTAAAAGTAGCTTTGTTGAGCATCGGACATACCTTCACCTTTTCCGAAGTTTTATCCGACTTTGGATCTTCATGTTTATTATGTTCCAGGTTGGTGTGGTATTTATAAACAATGTTCTGCTTATATTTGATAATGTTCCTAATTATTATTATTATTATTATTATTCTTACCTGTCCACAGTCTTTGACGATTATAGCCTTCAGGAAAGAACATCTCGATATAGATACTTTCAAGATCTTACTCAGTGCTGGGCCTACATATGCTATTATGAACTTCATTGAATGTAAATTTCTCTGATTGACTCTGTTGGCTTACGATTAGAAAATTCAGAGTTAAATCGTATCTTCTTGTTGAGTATCACATGTTTGTCATTTCTTTAGGTCTTCTTGACGTTGTGCTTATGTATGGCGCCTACAGCATGGCAAGAGGAATGGCTATATCCAGGCTGGTTATCAGGTTTTTTTGGTGGGGCTTGGGCTCGGTATTTGTGGTATATGTTTATGTGTATGTATCCAATTTGTCCACACGAGCTATTTCTTCTTGATAAAGTTTGAATGCGGAACTGCTAACCTTTTGTGAAACAAATATTGCAGGAAGGTTCTGAAGGAAAGAAATAAACCAAACCAAAATGAGTTTTTCTTCCACTTATACATTCTTGTATTGGGTTGTTATGCCGCTGTTCGCCTCATCTTTGGACTTTTAGTCAAACTTCCAGCATGCCATGCTCTGTCAGAAATGTCAGATCAATCTTTCTTCCAGTTTTTTAAGTGGATATATCAGGTATTCATTTAGTAGAACTTTAGATAATAGAAAAAGTAGCACTATGAAGCACATT